GAAGGGAAGATAAGCCGGGAGAGGTAATGGAGAAGTACCCTGGGGAAGGAGGTGGGGAGGTGGGGGGGGCAGCCTCCCTGGAAGCCAAACCACCTCCGCAGATTGGATTAATATTGCATGGTTGCTCGTGCAGCCACCCCCCTCTCTTGAAGGAACACTGATTGCCTCATTCGCTCTCCCTCTCATTCTTCAAAAGCGAAAGTTATCAAAACACCACAAAGGGGAGGTGGCGATGAAAACAAAGCCCGCTCCTTCATCCCTTCGAAAACATCAATGACAAAAAGCTTTCAAATGACTCCTCTGAAAGGGACGAATACAAAGAGCAAGTGACAGGGAGCATTTATCCCTTATTTATCTCGCTCTAACGGCTGAGATGTTTGTGTTGTTCTGGAGACTTGAAGTGGCGATAGACGCAAGGTCGAACACACACATTTGAAGGCTGCATTTTCAGGTGATTTGTGTGATTTATAGGTTTAACAAACTTCATGCTTCGCTACTTTTGTGAGCCTTGTGTGTTTTTGCATGTTTGGAGTCCATGGCGAAATATAGCTTGTATATTTTACAGGTTTATCCACCTCATCAGTCCCTCCGCAAGATTTAAACTAAAACCAGCAAATGTGATAGAGACACTGACCCACATGGAGAACGCACACGGAGCTTTCGCCCGGAGACAGTCAAACAAAACGTTTCAGGTATTGTTTGCAGAGAGATTATGTGAGAGGGTGAATTATCCAGGTTGAGACAGCGAGTGCAACCCAAGAGCATGATGGATACAAGGTCAGGGTCCAGAGCCATGTTGTGTATTTTCACTGTGTCTGCTTTTAAAGACGCTGCAAATGTCCGAGCTCTGAACTCAGTGGATTATGACCCTCTGCAGTACAACGATATTTCTCTCCTGTACTCGAGAGAAGCTTCAAGTATCTTTATTTATACGGCGTACACTATGAGAGGATATCTACTTTCCTTTCCTCTCATAATTCAAAGTTGATTTCTGACACTGTGTCCTCGTCTATCTTGCGATGCGGTATCACAGAACGTATTCAGATAAGACGAGTAAACATGAAGTGATATCTGTGAGCGAGACGTTTTGTTGCATCTCAGGGGAACATGAACAGACCAAATTTAGTGAAATACTCGACCTAGAGACTAAAAAAGGCACACAATACAGTTAGCTTTAAGCGCCTTTGCGTAAAGGATGTACATCAATTAGAAATCTCTTTAGGCTTTTCTTGTACCAATGAATGAAAACAATCTTGGTCTCCCGTATAGGTTGGAAAGTCTTTTTTAGTTTTATTTCAACCGCTTTAAAAAGGCTTCACTGTATCTGAGTCTGAGATAAAGGAGAAGACACGCAACTTGACAATAAGGATCCTTAGCAGGACCCTAAGCAGAAGGGTCTTGCTTAATAAGCCGAGGTCAGTCTACCAATTGTAATCATAATTACGGCGCGACCTGGCAGACGGAGGGTTCGGGGACGCACCAGCCACAAGTATTGCACGTTTTATTCAGTGTCGCGTGTCAGAGTCGACAACAATCAAAGCTGCTTCTCGGACGCCTCATGAGTGAGCTCGGCGTGTTTTTCTTTCTGCTGTTTACGATGTGTCACAGAGAGCTCTACGTCGATTAAAATGGTAAAGCAAAGGAAGAATGATTAAGTTGGTGGTCCCAAAGTTTGTCAAGCTTTGAAAACATTTCTGCTTTTGTCATTTGTGGTTGTGTCGGGACTACCATGGCGGACTGAGACATTAGACTAGTTTATGTAGAGTCTTTATTTCAGTCCCAGCCCAGTCTTTTCTACTTCAGCGTCATCATACGGACCATGATGATCGGTAGGGTACCGGAGTCTAGTCTATTTTGTCTCTCGATCGAGTCACAGCAAGAATTCATGGCTCTGCGACAGCCTCATCTGTCATCGACTATTGCAACAGACAAAAGGAGTGTGCCGTGAGATTTCGGCATCAGATGAATGAATCTGCTTTCTCTTCTCGGATCGATTTGAAATCACATGTATGATTACACACTGCTGGTTATCTAGTCTGACAGACGAACAGGTAAAATAAAAAGGTATTTAAGTGGTTCTGGTCCTTCTGCAGCCGGCCACATGCCAGCACTTGGTAATCTGCAGAATTTGGCTCTTATCAGCCTCGTTTCTGAAGAGTGGAGGTTGTCTAAACCAATATTTTCAGTCTTGTTTTATTTAGTCTACCTGGTGTGATGTAAGGTTTGGTAATCCTCAGGGAAAATGGCAGGAGAAAAATCCTTCAGAGAGATTATCCATCCCCTTATACACTAAGAGCGTTTTAAAATCGGTGCCTTTTCACCTCTGAAAAGAAGCTGCATCAGTTTCTGCTTTTAAGAGTGTTTTTTTTTTTTCCTCGTCTGTGCTTCAGTCTAAGTAAAAAGGAGTACCTCTGTGACCCTCTGTGGGGCCGTGCTGAGGATGGCAAGGTGTGGGCCACATTCGACCACCCATTTGTCATGTTTTTTCCTGTCTCTGCCGCCGCTGCAGCTTTTGATGAATGCGAGGAGCGGTGAGGACACCTTTCCCCCTCTTTCCGTCACGCTCGGTAACCGTGCTGCTAAAAAAAAAATGAGGCTCTGACCTGAGGCGGTCTGTGACTCAGGACGGAGATTTCTCCCTCCACACCGGATGAGCGTTTAATCGTCCTGATCAGGGCAGGTTTTTGGAAATGAGCGCAGAGCATGATGGGATTCTCCACAGTAAAGGATTTGGACAGGGACTCTGAATCCTGGCAGATGTTATTTGTTTTTGAGTGGCTTCGTGACGCTCAAAGATCCTCCGAGCGGTGATCGATCATGTGCTCGCTTGTCGATACAGGGTACAAGAGTAGCTTAGCTCGCACTTCCAAAAAATCTGTTTTCATGAAGCTTCTAATATGAGCTTGATAGAGTACCTGTCTGCTGCAGGTAAACAAATCGATGAATATGAGACAATCAATAAGGCAGTGAGGCTCCTCTGCAGGAACAAAGGTTGCCGTGGCTGCCATCTACTGGTGAAAACAAAAAAGGAAGATTTGAGGTACCTCCATTGTTTCCTTTTGTGTAGTCATGTCAAACTTTGTTAATTTATTACTGTTTTGGTTTGTATCAAAGTCACGTATACACAATGAGCAAATAAAACACAATGAATTGTTAATTATTAAAAGAAGTATTCCCCAATCTGTTTATCCAGTCAACACTCATGTCTAATCTTTCCTCGGGCGTTTCTTTGAAAAGCTCCTTCAGTTTCCTCTCTGTTTGAAATGTGGTCAAAAGTTAAGCCGCCCCGCTCTGCCTCACCTCGTCTTTCCTCTCCAGTTGAGTCCTGTCACAGTCAAAGTGTTGGCGGGTCGAATTCACAAGAAAGCTTGAGGGCCAAAAAGGTCAAAATGTCTCCACTTTGAAGACGGTGGACAGTCCCCCCACACTCAGAGGGGATCTGAGAAGTCTGAAGCTACAGAGAGTGACGGAGCACTGGGTGTTATGGGAGCCGTGGTCAGATTTACGATAATCCAGATGTAGTTAGAGGTGCTAATGAAGCCACGCTCTTTTGAACATTTGAAGTAGTTTTATGGTCACAGATTCCAGCGGTTAGAAACCTGTAGAAAGTTGTTGCTTTTTGAGAATGAAGAACTTACTTTTAGTGTTTGTTTGTTAGCTAAGCATCAATTTACCGTCATTTAAAGAGGATATGAAAAGTATCTGATCCACACGGTCAATAAGGAGGCAGATTTTCTGTTTACTTGAATTAAAGTCAGAATCCTAAGCCAGATATTCAGCCAACAGATTACTGTTTCCAAAACTGTAGATTTTTCCATATGTTTGATTAGTAAAACACACTCAAATTGAACTTTCTTGGCTTTAAAACTTAATATCCATGTCTATGTTTTCACTGCTGAAGTTAATAACTTGTTTAGTTTAAGAAATGTAGAAGATTGGGGACAACAGATCGAAGCTTTGGAGCATGAACTTAGCTCAACATTTTTAAGAAATTAAGGTTGGTTGTGAAAAAGTAAATTTTGATCTGGTCGAAGTAAACTTAGAGCTTCCACATTTTTAGTAAACTTGCACAACATTGGCTGTTCTGTAACATCAACTGCGTCGTACTTGAACTCAAAGTTTCATTTAGTATCTTAACGTATCGGATTGTATCGTTTCAATCAAATCAATCAATCAATCAATCAATCAATCAAATTTTATTTATATAGCACCAATTCACAACATTCATCATCCCAAGATGCTTTTCAAAGAAAAAGAGCAGGTCTAGACCATGCTCATTGGTATCATATCATATAGTATCGTATCTGTTGGTTACCCTGTTAGTCCTACCTTTATTGAAAACCACTGTGCTTGATCCTAAGCTGGTTTTTTTTCCACTTCTTTCTCTAAACTCTGGAAACACAAAAATCTAATAATGTCACATATGACCGCAAATCGCTACTAAGTTCAATCACTTTTCTGCATTATGAGTAATTTTACTTTTGGTGCATCTGAGACGTTTTCCAAAAGTTGGATTTAAGGTGCTTCAACTTTGATGGATATTTCTTTGACTGCTGTATTGTTACTTTTTTATAACCTTATTAATGATCTGATTTCACTTTTCTATGGCTAAAAATATTAATCGTCATATATATTTTTTATGATAAACTGAACTGAAGTTGGTTTAACTGAATTTGTTGAAATTTCAATTGAAGATTTGTCAAAAAAGACCCATGAGAGGTTCATCCCTCAACCTTACGTGAACTCATTACTAACAAGCTTTCTGCTGCTCCGTTAAAAGCTCACTGACCTATGACACGCATCCCTGCACTTTCCCACATAACTCTCTTACATGTCCTCTGGCGTCTGCTTCGCCCGTAAAAAGACATGCTTACACACGTTTCCCCGAGGGTTGAACCAGGTGACTTTACAGGATGTAAGAAAATTGCGTAATGCTTCTGCTTGTTGCACAATTCTCCTTTTGCTGCAACCTAGGCAAAGCTTTGTAAAGACTGTGAGCGTAGGCTTGGGAAAATCTGGCAAACACTTAAGAAGGGAGGGGCTGTGATGACATAAAAAGATCTTTTCAGGCGGAGATTTAATGAAACCACATGTAGAGATGATGTCAGTGTTATTTCTGCAGTTTTTATGGAAAAGACTTCAATATTTGTCTTTTTCTGTTGCATAAATGGTGTGTAATGCATCAGGAAAAGAAGGGAAATAGATCTTAAAGCCATTTCAATCTCAAACAAACCCAAAGTCTTTCGCTTTACAAAACGTTTTAAGCCCAAATCTACATGAGAATCAATAATTTATCTGCACAAAGGCAAGCTAACAGGCACATTTCTGCAGATCTGCCCAAAAAGCCCATTAAAGCGACAGTCTAATCAGGCCCAGGAGACGTCAGCTCTGCTTCTGCAGCTTGCCTATCACCTCATTCATTAGCACGCATTCTGCGACCACATGCTACAGCTGTGTTCCTGCCTCTCCCAGTGATAACATATCCAGCAGGCTTTGTCCCAGGCTGTGCTCGACGCGTCGCATAAAGCAGTTTATGTATGACTACAGCGATTTCTTGTGCCCCACAGTGATGCTTGTGGACGGCCCGTCAGCTGGTGTAAATGCACCGCTCACAGACTAACGCAGGCTTTCACGTTTCAGTGGGAAATGGACGTATGGGAGAGAAGGGGATTTGCATAATTAGGTGCTGCGCTGTGCTTTATATATGTAGAAGTTAAGGAAGACACAGTGGGGTTCTTAAAGCATAATGAGCTTAGTCTAAAGACGTCTTTGCAATCTGAACAGGGATGATTTTTGACATTAGCTGACACTTGGCTGGTTAGGAGTAAGAATTAATCAATGAGCGGGATAGTTTATAATGGGATCGAGCTGCTCAATTAAGAATGTATATATAAACTGTTGTATTTAAACCAAAAGAAATGAGAATAAGAATGAGTTTGAGCTTCTAGTCATAGGTCTGCATTATTTATTTATTTATTCGGAATCAGGGAGACCTGCATTAAGACAATAAGTGTATAGATTGTATTATTTTAAGCAACATCATAATGTTTTAAATCACTTTGTAACGTACCCCACTGTATCACATTATGTGTTACACTATTGTATGTTATTGTATCGTACGATGTCATATTATTGCATGGCGTCATATCCGGTGGTGTTATATCTCCTTTATTGTGCAGTATGATATCAAATAGTAAGCTATTGCATTGTAATGTAATGGTTTGGGGTTTTTCAATGGGGTTTCTTGTTGTATCCCATTTTATTGTATTGCATCATATAGCCTCCCACATAGACTGTATGTACTTTGGACATCTTGGTTCCGCCTTCCGCCAGTATACGGATTAAAAGCCGAAAAGCTCTCAGTATTTTCGCAATTTTTCTCCATTTCTTGAAACCAACATCACGCAGAAGCGTTGTATGCACTAAATCACTTGCACAGTAGGGTGGTACGCATTTGGCGGGAGAGTCGCCGAGAGTCGCTGTGCCGACGCTTGGCTCAAACAGCGTATCCCCGGGGTGAGCTATGCAATCTCTGTACCCCCATAGGCTGTATCAGGTGTCAATCATAGAAAACATGAACCCCCTAATGACTTTAAAAATGAAGTTGTGCAGAAAAAAGAGGACTTGAGCACAAACCAGTCTTACTGTAACTACATGTCAACATCACAAGCAAGAGGGAGAAAAATTTATATTCTGTGTAATAAATTTCTTAAGTTTGTCCACAACTCCATTAATTTTGCTGGAGGAGGCGGGATTTATGACCTATACTGCAGCCCGTCACCAGAGGGTGCTGTTCTCACGGTGGCTTCAGCAAGCGAGGAGGCAGACGGCGTCCTTTCTATATACAGTTTATTAGGGGTGGGAGAAAAATTCAATTTACATAAGTATTGAAATTTTTTGTTTTACAATTTATTTATTTTTTATTACATTTTTTCCAAATTTAAGAATAATCTTAAAAACTGACTTACATGTGTATTTTTGGGGGAAATATGGTTCCTGGAATAGTTAGTAGACAATCATAATCATTCAACTGTTTCACTCTTGTTAAAAATGCAGACTAAATATCGAGAAAATCGACAATATCGTAGAATCGCAATTTAAGTCGAATTGGCACCCAAAACATCGTACAAAAATCGAATCGGGAGAAAAGCATATCATTCCAGCTCTACAGTCTATGGCCTCCCATCGTATTTATAGAGGTATCACACTGTATTGTTTTGTATTGCAGGGTATCACAAGAACCATAGTTTCATACACTGTTGTATTGCAGTAGCTGCCATTGATCGTATTGTGTGATATCTCATGTCACTGTAGTCCACGGTTTTGTATCATATCTTAAAATGGGCTGTACCATCGTCTCACCTTGAAGACATTTAGAGCTGGCGAGCCATCCTCAATCTGCTCTGGACCCACTTCAACTCTCTAAAATTAGTTCGGGTGACCAATTTCTTAATCTAATCTTTTCCTAACTTCTAAATTTTTACTTGAATCACTTTGATAAAAGTGTCCTCAATTAGTAATTTCTCAAAGATTGCCTCTGAGGTATTTCTAAAATTGGTGCCAGCTCTATCTTCTCTCAAAATTAAATGGGATACAAATCTTTTCCCTTTTCACTGACTCCAGGCAGGAACAGGTTTTTCTCAAACAGGCTTTTGAAGCTAATTAAATCTTGCCTCCGTGTGCACAGGCCACAGCTGTATGCTCCTCCGCTTTGGGCAGGAAGAGCAGGGGAGTCGCCCGAATCCATCCATCTTCATCCTTGTCAATTATGCCGTCAGCGGGCCGCACATCTTCATTTCCAATGTGGGCACTGTCTCAAAGTACTTCCCAAAGTCACCGTAATCCAATTATATTCTGGCATTCACTGTGATACAGCCCATTAGAAAAGGCTTAATCAATGTGAGGTCTTCATTAAAGCAATTTATGAATATTCATCATGACACCCAGTTCGATATTTTATGGGTACTTGAAGCGGACCATTTCCCCCCATGGCGCCATAACATAACCTGGCTATAGTTTTAATGGCAGCTCTTTAAATGGAGGGGTAATGCACTCTATTATTAGCTAATATGAGGCTCTCTCCTCTTGAAACACAATTAAATCCTCTGATGATACTTCACAGCCGGGGCCGAACACAAAAGGAAATGTTTAGTATTAGAGAGGTGTATTCAGGGCTTTTGACTCTGTGATGGTCCCACTTAGGTGTCTTCACACTTATTCTTCAGGGCACTGTGCATAAATAGCTAATTGCTCTGCAGCCCTCAAATTGGTTCCCTCAACAGAGAATAACAAACAGCCAATAACTCATTCAGAGCCAAGTATCCATTACAAGTGCTTTCCCCTTTATCTAGAGGGAGACCACACACACACACACACACACACACACACACACACACACACACACACACACACACACACAAACAGACTAAACTCAGACTCTGCTTCAAAAGCCACTGCTGATTTCAGTCCCTTTTTTTCCCCACTTTTAACTTAATAGACTAATCCATCACAAAAATGCCACACGAGGCAGACCTCACAGATAAACGGGGCGGTTTCTTGGACTGCATGTGAAGAAGTTCCTGATTATTCGTAGGACTAGCCTATCATTATGGAAAATAGCTGCCTAAGAACTGACATCACAGTCTGCGTCGCCGTGTAATCTCTCTAATTCGCCGTTTTTATGAATATTTACAATCAGCCTCTTCTTCTTTTAGTAATCTCTTTCGTCTTAAAACGCTGCCGGTCCTCGCTGTTATTACAGTCATTACGGGTTTAATTGTCAGCCCTTTAGCTCACCAGTGGGCTCACCTCTGCTCTCTAATGGAGGGTTTCTGGGATATGATGTTCCTCCAGGGCTGATAAAAACAGCAGCAGTGAAACAAACACATAAGACCGCTCTTCAAAAACCGCAATTCCTGTGGAGAAAATGAGCAAAACAGCATCAAAGTAAAAAGGTTCAGTCAGTACATTTACCTGACCTTTGAAAAGTGATGAATCGCATCGGTCCGACTAAAACCAGACTTTAAAAGACATGTAAACATGCTCGTCTGGCTGAAATTACATGTGGGTCAAAGTCAGACTAACATATCTTTGAGGATGGATTTTCAGCTCTACAGTTCACAAGCCAGACTTTGACTTGGACTTCAAGCAGCATAAATCCATAGAGGGATGTCGGGAAGTAAACAAAATCTCAACAAAAGTAGGAGGAAAGTAAACAAGATGAAGCTATAAACATGGTCCAGGGATATTCCGGCGTCAAATTAATTTAGGGTCAAACACAGCCTAACGACAAGTTAGACACCACCTCGAGAGATGAATGTTGCTGACCGCTTGCTTCTCTAGTTATACCAATTTTAGTAATGACCGCACGATAGCAATACTCACCTTACCAAAACGCCACTCTATAGCCACAAATAATGCTCAGAACAGCACCTAACTTCATCAACAGTACATATAGGGTCCTAGCCATAGTACTAGTCACCAAACATCTTTTTAACTTTCTCTAACTTCTTTAGCAAAGAGACCAAACACAGCTCACCTACTCTCTTCCAGCATGCGCTTGTTTGTAGCGAGATCTCAGGCCAGTCAATTACGGACTTTGTCACTTCTTAATGGAAATGCAATCAGACCGAGACGCTAAGGCAAAAGAACTACTGCGTCTGCAGTGCAAAATGGTTAACATGATAATTATTACTTAAAGGAAATGATAAAAGTTATGATCATGAATGTTCTTCCCTGAGCTGCGTCACTCCACAGCAGTCCGTAATGGACTGGCCCAAGGTCTCACTACAAACAACGGGCTGCTGGAAGAGAGTAGGTGACTTTGGCTTTTGTCATTTATGGCACCCCCCTGTGGTCACAGCATTTATAAGTTGTGACATACTAACAGGCTTAAGACGTGTGTTTTGGCCAAAAATTTTATCCTGCTGACTTTTTACACTCAAATATATCAGTAGTTTTGAATATCTTAAGATGAAATTGTAAAAAACATGGCTGACACCTACCCCCCAGCACTGGTTTCAGGCATCAAAAATGACTATATACAAGTTGTCAATGTTGTCCCTGGTGGTCTTGCCTGCTTTGGGGTAACAGGTAGCATCTTTAACATGAATTTCACTATGTTTCATAAATGTCAAAAAACTCCTTACAGGTGCTTTAAATATGCATATAAACAATTAGAGTTATTGTGCAGTTTTGGATTCGGTTCATGGTATAAAACCCGCAGGTTCTGGCTCCTGGTTCTTTATTTCACGTCCTTTGATTAAATCTGTAGCGCCCTCATATCTACTCCTTTAAAAAGAACGTTGAGCTTGTGTAGTTAGCTTCACAGAATACAGCTTTGCTTTTTTTCCCCAGAGGTAAAACAAAATCCATTTAACAGCACCTCCAAAGCTCTGATATTGAGACTTCATGTCTTTGTTACGCAAATGCAAAAATCAATGAGTGCAAGAAAGTGTGGTTTTAAATGGGTTTATCAGGGGAGCTGTTTCTCATCAGGGAGGCGGTTTTCTCAGAACAGCCATTGATTGAGTTTCATAATTGAAGTAACTAGATGTTATGCTGCTTATAGGTGATGATGCTCTGTTTTTATGAGCTTTTTGCTGCTATTTGTTTGAGCTGGGGACTAGGATTTTTGTTACATGACCATTGAAAGAGGGACTTCAGTGTTCAGAGCCAAGCTAGGGCGTCTCTTTGGGTAACTTTCCATGACGAAATCAAACAAAGTAAAAAATTTGAAGCCTCCACTCATCCATTATCTTATTAAATTAGGGGTCCTGGAGGGCCACTGGAGCCCATCCCAGCTGTCATTAAGCAAAGGGTAGGTCACTGAAATGTTTTTGATGCAGGCCAGACTTTGTAATTCAAACATTGTGAATTAATTATCATAGTTTGTCCTCATACTTGAACCACAGATTGGAGACTTTCTTGAAAATGACTCTCAGCATCTCAGCCGTTAGTCCCATTTGTCTGCTCTGTGTAAATGTGCTTTCTGATTTGTAATTTGAAATTCTGGCAGGGAACCACTTAGTCCCCTCATTTGCATTTTCAGGCAGATTTTAAATGTCAGACATAATAAGCTTAACTGTGATGGTTTTAAAATATAGCTTATTATGCAAACTATGTTTGTTCTTCTCTCAGATCAGAACCTTCCTATTAAGACCACCGAGCTGCACCCTTCCTCTGCGCTTACCGACTGATTGGGATTCATTCATTAAATCTCTGATCATTTACGGCAATTTATTTCACCCGTTTCCTTTGAAATGCATTAAAAATAATGATGAGGAAATCATCTAACAAGCACAAAATAACTCAAACTGCACAAACAGTTTCTTCTTTATTTGCTTTAAATAACTCGTAAAGGTAATGTTTATCTTTGACACAGTCTGTCCGTCACGCCTGCTCACCAGAGCCTGACGGACAAAGAAAAAATCTTGTGAGCCTTCAAATCCGACAAGATTAAAACATCCAAACAAACACGTTCTAAATATTAGCGACGGCGATGAAGGGAAGTCAACGCCGAGTTGTTTGAAATGTCAACATATGTGCTTTTTAGTTTACTCTCTCACACGGGGATCAGACAAATGTTTACGCAGACGTGACAGTTTGAGACACGCCTAGTAGACCTTTAATTAAAGAGTTACATAAAGAGTTTGCAAAAGGAAACTTAAAGCGGTCTTCTTTAAGTTTGGCTTTACTTTAGGAGGCTGTGTTTGACATCTCTGTCACTTTACTGTCTGTCTTTGAGGACACTTTCACTTCATTGTTTATAACACACACACAGACAGTAGATGGATTGTGTATTTTTCATTACAGCGCCGCAGCTTCAAACTGATAACACATGTCGATGTGTAGTTAGTTTAATTTATGCATTGCTGACAAATAAAGGACAATTTATAGGGAGTCAGAGCGTCATAATCTTCTGCAGAAACAGTAAAAGATGAAGAGCTCCACCTTGTGGACATAAACCTGAAACACAGCACAAAATAAATCAGAGATGCTGCGTCTTACCTTTAGATTTGTTACATTTTGAGCAAACACACAATTTTTTTTTATTGTTTGTATCTTAATAATCTTTTTTGACCACCCTTTTGATTATAACAGAGTTCAGAAAGTTTAATCTCAGCAGGCTCTTAGACTGTGAAAAACATGGACCCACTCTTAGTGACATTACTCATGGGTTTGTGAAGTGAGGTTTTGATATCCAGGAAACTTTAGGTGGAGTCGAGCCCCTCTGTTGGGCCTTTCGCCTCCTTGTTAAAAGCTCAAGTGTGCCTATACCTGTCAGATTAGTCCGCTGTGAAAACTATGTGAAACTCTTCTCCTAAATATCCTCAAAGCTAATGAATTAAAAGATCATCACCTCCTGTATAGTGTGCTGATAGAGAAATGAACCATTCAGGCTAAAATAGATTTTGAACCAATCTGTGAGCATGTTTGTTTTTGCCGTAAACAGACTCTTTAGTATGAATGCGTACGCAACTTTGGGAGCTTTTTAGGCCAGCCTCCAGTGGACACTTAAGGAACTACAGTTTGAAGAACTCCAAATTGGTGTAACATCCCAAGACAAGAAGATAAAAGTAAAAAATGTCTTCAATAAAGTTTTACCAAAATATCTCATTGGCAAAAACTGATTTTTTAAAAATTCTCTGCAGGAACATGTGTGAATCATGGGAAGTGTGGATGTTTACGTTGCACTCTGTCACTACTGTCCAATAAAAAATACACACTAACATAATATCTACAAAACCAGAGATTCTAGATTGTTTAAAACCACCATCTCCCTTGGTCTGGCCCATATGTACTCAAATTTGGCCCAGAACAACCTCAGTATAAAAAAAGTGTAGCACATCAACCAAAGTTTGAAAGTATTGTAATCTGGTGATTTTGGCCACTCTAGAAAAATGCAACAAATGTATGAGTTGAAACTAGAAAAGGACTTTATCGAATCCCATCACTTCTGTGTCCACTTTCCTCCACTGGTTTCCTGAGCATTTTATAACTGACTTGAAGATTTGACTGATTACTTTTAGGTCTTTCCTCAAGTGACAATATAGCAGTCCTAGATCCTCAGGTGGTCTGAGGTGTCGAGTCTCAGATTGAAAAGGAGATTAAGCTTTTTTTTTTTTTTTTTTCATCAGAGCCGCCTGACTTTGGATCGACCTCCCTGAGGAGATATGACGAACTGAATCAGTGACGTCTCTTAAATCACTTCTTCTACAGACTTGCTTTTATAGGATTCTTAATTTAACTTTTCTTTCACATATTATTTTAACATTATTAATAAATTTGTTCATTCAAATCCTCTTCTCATCTTCTACCATCTTTAATCGCTTTTGTTTGTGTAGTCCGTCAATGTTTTTCAAATCAAGAGGCTATTTTTTAAATAAAAGTACTGCATATAAGATTCTGCTTTCCAGTAAAGCTTCTGCACTTGCGAACGACATCCACTAGATGGCACTGCCTTCAAATAGGATGAGTATAGTTGCAGGAAGTTGGTTGTTTTCCCTCCTCTCTGAGTTATGCATGCTTACAGAAAGTTGCTGACCTTGTGTGCACGCTGTCCTCTCATTAAGTCTTCATTAAATTCTACTCTCTCATGTAAATTTTCTCTTAATTTGAAGTACCAGCCTTTTCAAAGACTAAAAACACGCAGGGATAAGTTTAGGGAACCGTTTCTAGGATGATTAAAAAAAATTCATAATCAATGGAAAGTGCTTTAGTGTCTCTCATCAAAACTGATTTTACCTTCAGAGGGAGAGAGCTGTGATTAATCTGCAACACTCTGACAGTCTCATTTCTGCCGTTGAGAGCATCCATCAAAGTGAAAGGTCAATAGAAAACGATAAGAACTCTCACAATATTCACAGCAAATCTGTCATGTGACGAGCTGGAGGAGAGGAGATTGAAGCTCGGGCTGCACATCACTCATCGATCTGAACGAGCTGCATGTTCAAAATTCAGCACAATATGATCGCAGGAGATAATTCGGTGACCATAACTGCTCACTTGTGGGTTTTTTTTCCTCCTGCAGACAAATCGTTTTCTTGTATGGATGCAGATCCCATAAATCAATGAACTTCCTCATGCGGTTCTCATTCCCGCTGTTCATACATGAGCGTGCGTGCCGGTTTTTTGTCAAAGTGCATTGAGTGATGCTGGAAACGGGCTCTTTATGGGAGCATTTGTCTGGAGTCCTAGATGTGTTCTGCATGGTGGACTTAGCCTCAGGAAGCGCTGGAGCGTTTCCTGGAGGACGAGCACTCGTGTGCTTAGAAGGTCAAGCACTCGCGCTGGAAATCATTAACCGTCCTTTTATTTGCTCTCATACTCCGCTTGCTTATATCGATGAGATCAGAAGTGACAAGGACGTGAATTTACGGCGTCTTCAGATCATTTCGGACTGTTTCAGGTGTGTTTTTGTGTTTCTCTGAGGAGGGGGTGTTGAATTGAATTGCAGATGTCAGTACAGCCGTAACCTCTGCTGCAGATGCGTGGGGCGACACACAAGGTTAAAGCTGTATTTGTTGGTGAAAAATGGCGAAGAAGGCTGTATAAACCAGTGTGTGTTTATTAACATTTTCAACCCGGCTGCCCATCACTTCTTCCACGGGACCATTGAATCATGTAATTTCTGTCACGGGTGAAAGATGAGGGGCTAGCAAGGCGGGACGGCGCGGCGGATCTCACTAGTTTCACATGCATCCAGGTAAGGAGTCTGAAAATACAGCCACTACAGTCTCTCCTGTGGATTGGACCACGGAAACTGCCTGGTTGAGAGTCTTTCATTTCACATTCATTAGAAAGGTTCTTAAATTAATGAGGCAGTGTCGACCACGCCGTGTGATAAGATGCAATAAACAAGCCAAGGATATTTATGACGCCTGTGTGGAAGTTTATTACCTACAGTGGAGCTCGTGTCACAGCACAAGTCTCCTACTGTACGAAGGTGTGGAAGGCTTTTCTTCATACTGCTGCAAACACAAAAGTATATACACTCCTTTTCTTTCTTTTCATAACAGAAGCTGACAGTCACTTTTGACCTTGTTTTGACGGCAAAGAACAAAACAAAACAATGTTGTTGGTTTTTGCTTCCTCCAATATTTTTCTGACACGCTGCTAACGAACAGATTGGACTAAATATGAGCATCACTCAGAGTAAAACTTTCTGTGCAGCCTCTGAACCAAAACTGTGGCTACATATTAGCGCTTTGGCTATTCACCACTTTGGTTGCTCAGTTTTCCAGTTTTAGTTGTTAGTTGTTCACATTTTATCCATCTTTTTGAAATCTGGGTTATGTTTTCAGTTGTTTTAAAGGCAGTAGACCAAACTATAACAGAACTTCAATGAGAAATTGCCTCATGAAGCTAGTCAACGGTTAACCTGTTGTTTATTTGGTGAACAGGACTCTCCTCTACACTCTCCTAGCTCACTTTTTAAAGCTTTATTGGTCTTATTCTAAACAAAAGAAAATTTATGTTACCGACCGCTTGCTTCTCTAGTCGTATTAACTTTAGTAACAACCACACAATAGCAATACACAGCGGTCTGAGGAGCCATAAACAAACATCAACTAAAACGCCACTCTATAGGCACAAATAATGCTCAGAACAGCAACTAACTTCCTCACCAGGACATATAGGGTCCCAGCCATAGTACTAGCCACCAAACATCTTTTTAACTTTGACTAATTTCTTTAGCAAGGAGACTAAACACAACTCACCTACTCTCTTCCAGCAGCCACTTGTTTATAGCGAGACCTCAAGCCAGTCCATTACGGACCATTTATGATAATTTCTTCATGGAAATGCAATCAGACCGAGATGCTAAGGCAGAAGAACTACCGTGTCTGCAGTGCAAGATAATTAATATGATTATTATTACTTCAAGGAAATGATAAAGAAATGATCATAAATGTTCTTCCTTGAGCTGCGTCACCCCGCTGTAGTCTGTAATGGACTGGCCTGAGGTCTTGCTACAAACAAGCGGCTGCTGGAAGAGAGTAGGTGAGTTGTGTTTAGTCTCTTTGCTAAAGAAATTAGGCAAAGATAAAAAGATGTTTGGTGGCTAGTACAGTGGCTAGGACACTAGATGTACTGTTGATGAAGTTAGGTTCTGTTCTGAGTATTATTTGTGGCTATAGAGTGGTGTTTAGGTTGAAGTTTGTTGATGGCTCCTCAGACCGCTGTGTATTGCTATCCTGCTGTCATTAACAAAGTTGGTATGACTAGAGAAGCAAGCGGTCAGCAACATTCATCTCCTGATGGGGTGTCTAACTCAGTGTTGCGGTGTGTTAAATTAATTTTATGCCGGAATATCCCTTTAACTAGCGAACAGGTCGTATGTAATGCCATGCTGTGGTCTACGTCCTTTTGAAGACGCTGGTAATCGAATATGACCTGAGTGTTTCTAACATGCTTTCTGAAGGTGTCTTCCTGCAGTTGAAGTCAAGCATGTACACAAATAGACGACACAGCGAGTCCATCTTTGACCTTTAGCCCCTCTGTCTTGCACTCATCATGAAACAGCCTCTAAAAACGCCACCGAATCCATCTGTTGTTTTCATCAGCATCATAATGCACGGTTTTGCTTGACTGGTGAGCATTAGTTGTACTGTACTTTAAACAATGCATTGTGGGATACAAAGGCTTCCCTTTGTAGTGTTCAGTGATTCTCAGCCATGACCCGGACAGCGGAAAAAAACACACAACATAAAAGCTCATTCGTTGGTATACGTATTCTTCTAAAGAAAGAAGAAAAGGCATTCAACAACAAACTACAACACAAAATTACACGTATCATGTCTGTACATCAGTTTTGAGAGATAATCTGAACGACTTCGAGTGCTTCAATTAACAGAAAAAAAGAGACTGAGGAATAAAGAGTATCTCCTTTACACTTGAGAACATCTCGAGTCTTTTCATCCTCTCGTGTTGAAACCACATCAATTCAAAAGAAATGGAAATGCACTGTAAAGCGCCGTCTTCAGATGAATAAATGGAATCTGAAGTGAACAATATTTTATGTAATAGAGACGCCAGAAAAGACGTGAAGCCGTGGAACATTGTTATGCAAATCAAAAGCGGCTGATATCAAAAGTAGCTGCGCATACAGTGTGAATCTTATACAATGATCTGTGATGTGAAGAGGATGACAGCACTGGGTGTGAAAGTACACAACACTTAAGTGTAATGTGACGAGGCTTCAAAATCAATGTGCCTCCTCCTAACTGTCCCTGATACACACCCAACAAACAAACTTGATTTGCTCATGCCCTAAAATAATAATAATAATACATAATGCATCAGCGCACGCCACATAGATGATGCCAAGTGTACGTCCCACTTCATTAATTCATCCATAATGAGTTTTGCAGCATGTAGGAGCAACTACCTTAGAGGCAGCCCCAAGAGTCAAAGCTAATTAAATCAGCATCTTAAATCCCAATCTACACACATCTGCCTTTGTTTGCAGAGGGGGAAAAAAAAAACAACAACACAAACCGGCCTCGCTCGCGCAAAAGTTACACATGTGGACAAGTGGAGACACAAGTCTTCGAACTCTGCGCAGGAGAAAAAAAAGGGACTTTTTTAAAAAAGCTGGAAAAGCTGCAAAAATCCAAAGGAGATCCAAGCCAGCAGGGGGCTCTGTTACACAAACTAATCAGCTATTGTTAGACGAGTGAGTCATCGAATGCCAAATCATATTGATCTCCATTAATCTTTCTCTTTCTCTTTGTTTGTGTGCAATCTCAAAAGCTGAAAATGCAGCCTAACACTCTGTTGAAGTGTGATGTCTTTTGCTAATTGGTTGGAAGAAGTGTGATTTACATTTTTGGGATTACAGAGAAGATTTTTAGAAAAGCAGGAGAGTCCTCATGTTAGTGTGTGTGTGTGTGTGTGTTTGTGTGTGAGGGGGGTGGGGCTAATCATCTGTTGTCCGCAGTCACTTCGACCTCCTCGAGGAACTTTATCAGCAGTGAAGAGCTCTGATTTGTGAGCCGTCTGGATCTTCTTCTTCTGATTAAAAAGGTGCAGAATCTGAGATAATGAGCAGGAAAAGTGACCTTTCCTCTGAGGTGAAGACAGGCCTGAAAAAGATGAAGATTTTTCAGCAGCTTTTATCACATTCATTCACTTTTGGCTCAGAAATGTGTCGATCAGTAACTCTACCCTGCTTTTCTGTCCATTCATGATCTTGAACACGCTCAAAACAGACTCCATACATATGCATGCGAATGTCTCTTTAATGCACGCTAAGAAATCCCCCTCAATTCTTCATCAGTAAGCAAAAGAAATAGAGTTTTAATTCCTTCTCTCCCAGGAGGAGCTCCAATCTCATCTCGTATGCTCCCACAGAACCTCCGAGGTCGTGGATTATCTCCGTAAGAGAAGTCGTTTGAGTAACGCTGCTAAAAAACGTCATAAGTCGTCATTAATCATGAGGATATGTCATGCATCACACAGAGGTGGTTTGCCACATCTGGTCTTTAGTCATATATCCTAATCATGACTGTAACAGCGCTCCAAATCCGTCCTCGAATGCATTATTCAAATTTAGTTCATTAGAAAAGTCATTTCAGCCGACAGTTTAGTCCACCTCAGACTTGGAGAGCGGCCCTAATGACGTTATGTTTCATTGCAATTCTCTTCTCCTGCTCTAGTCATTTAATATAATTCATAATGACATATACATTCGCAAAATATAAAAGCAGGCAGAGGAAGTTGGATAAGGGAAATTGGATTGTAGGGGAAGTTTCTGGTGTTTAAAAAGTAACTCGGATGAGGCAAGTAGGCAAAAGACAAAGGTGTGGGGGAAGTAAGTGATTATATTTACTGTAATTAGACTTGAAAACACAATAAGAAAAGTAAGTAATGAAAGAGATGACAAACAGTTCCAAAAACAGAGGTCATCCAGTCAAAAAAATAACAAGTTTCTTAAACATACATATTCAACAGACCTGAATGGAAAGACCTTAAGACTTTATAAAAGGAAAACTAAAGTAACAATTAAAGCAAATATCCGACTCAGACATATTTCAAGATTAATTATCCACCAAACTATCCAAGTAAGTTGAATGATTAATCCAAAGTAAACACGATGAAGGACAAGTTTTTGTTGAGTTTTTGGCGGGTCATAAGTTCAGTCCTCTTCAATCTTTGCTCGTCCTCATCGTCGTTAGTTTCCTCTCAGCCCCTTTCACACTGACAGTTTAAACCCTGATTATTACTGATGCCTCACTCTAATATGAACGCCACAGGGCGTGATGGTATCTGTCATCAGAGGTAGTAACAGAGGTGATATAGCTGGAAATGATTGGAGGGATTCTTTACACTGCTGTTGTCAGTGGACACAGGCCCTTTTTCATGGCAGCTCAAACAAATGAAAGAACAGAGAAATGTCTTTCCTTCAATCATGAGCCAAAACGATAGCTTATTCTTTCCCTGTGTTTAATTTTTGATTATGATTGGTGACAGATTAACTTGTTGCAGACTTATAAAAGCTGACATGGTGTAATTGTGCAACATTTGAGGAGCTAGACAACCAATTAAAGTCTGAATGCTCTGTTTTTGGGACTGTCTCTCAAAGCCTTCCGTTTGGATTGTGTATTTTCTCTGGAAACTTTCAATGGGAGGGTTGGTACTATAAAGCAGATCAGTGTAATTATCCATCCAATGAGTTTGACATTGTTCAACCTCCAGCAATAAGAACAAACACAGACATAAGAGTAAAGTGGTAAATTAAGTGATAAACAGGAAATTTACAAATATGAATTAGTCCAACTGAATTCATTTGTAAATAATATTTGAATTAATAGATTTATACTGCCCAGGGCTTTTTCCTGGAAACAAAAAGGTTATAGCAACAAGTGTTGAACTAATAACAAGGTTTTGATTGTTTTTCTGCGGAAGCAAAAGCCAAACCAGGAACCTTCTGATTACACATTTCAGATCTGATCAAATTTCATACATTTCACCTCTGCCTGTTGACACTGGGGCAAAAAATATTAGTTTTTCTTTTTTTATTGTTAAATGTTAGTTTCCACCTCAGGCTGTTTTTTGAGAATATTTTCAGTTAATTTATGAAGATTATTATTTTTTTACATTTATTCATTGTTTATTTATTTATGGAGTTTATTGATTTCTTTGAGTTTTCTAAACACATTTTTTAAAATCTATTTAGTTTATTATTTTTTTGCTAATTCATTTTTTTTATTTTGTTATTTTTTATTTTAGAAAAGTTTATTTATTGATAAGTTTTTTAAAACATGTTTATTGAGTTTTCACTTATTTACTTATTGAGTATATGTATTATCCATCTGTTTATAGGTTTTAATTTATATTAGGTTTGTTTATTATTTACTTATTTATTGACTTCATATTTTTTTTTATTGACTTAGTTCATCTATTTATCCATCTGGTTATCAAGTTTGATTTTTACTTATTTTTTGAGTTAAATGATTTCTATTTTTTTATGATTTTTTTTTTCATTTATTTATGGAGAGTATTTTTTTGTATTATTTATTGAGTTTTTATATCGTATCTTTTGGATTTATTCACTTTTTAATTGATTTAATTATCTTTTTTCACTGAGTTTGTTCACTTTTAGTTATTGAATTAGTTTATTCATTAATTAGGACCAATTATTTATTTACAGGATTAAACATGATTTTAGCAGCATGTATCAATGTTAACACACCAGAATTGTCAAATATCTCAGTTTCATCATAGCCTCATGGCAGGCACTTACTAAACAGAAACAAAAAATCACATACAAACAAAACACAAGAGAAGACTCATAAAACAACACATGACAAACATGTTAGTTATATTAAACACCACAGACCCACATCACTGACGTTCAGGGTCCTGCTCACCCTGTTTGTTTTCTTGTCACTTTACAATCTACCTTATGTGTGCACCTAAATAGTAAAACAAATGCCATATATCTAATTAACTTTGATTTTCTTCCACCTAAAGAACAATATGCTGTGATTTATTTTACGGAAAATAAAACAGTCTAGTGTGAAAATGGGACCTACAACCTTGTTTATCAGTGTGACAACATTATTCAAGATGTAAATAGGCTGCATTAGCTGAAACAAAAGGTGTTGTTTCCTCTCTGCATGAAAAAAACAAAACAAAAAAACAATTTATTTCCATTCCAGTCTTTTTCTCAGGTGTTCCTGCAGGACTCCCCGAGTCCGCTTCATATCAGCCTCTTATATAACCGCATGACAAATCAATCATATGATTGTTGTTTAGATTGTTTTGACCGATAGGCACCTTGAGCCCTGGAGGACCACAACAACCAAATAACTCCAATACACCTTAAAAATAGATGAAATAGAAAAGCATGTATTTCCCCATGTAGCAATCTGGCTGTGGGTATGTTTATATTTCACTGCAGTAATGTGATCTCAAGCTTGTAATCTTACTATTTTATATTTTATGGCTCCCCACAAACATCCGCAGAGTCTCCTGCTGACCTTGAATCATTGTGGACCGAATCTCTGTAAGTTATTAAGTATTATAGGTGTTCTGTCACTGCAAAACTGTCCATTTCCAGACAAATGCGACCAGAGCTATACGTCTTAGCTGGAGGATTAGCCCAGCTCACACTGAGGAATGCTTACCAGAGACAATGCATGATCCATCAGTCTGCAGAGAAAGGCTCCCTCGCTCTTCCCTGCACTAATCTTTCATCACTATAAGTCTCAATTCACCTGTTGACGGAAAGCTGGAGGCAGATTTCGCCCCTGAGTCGAGCCTCACATCTCTGCTTTACCCACCAAGGACCAACCAAGGAGACTTTACGTGGAACCTGCAGCCCCCCGAGGCCTAATTTTCACAAAGCCATGCTGGTATTTTTTTTTTATTACACACTGATATCCTGTTCAGTGCATCTGCGCTCTTGTTTGCTTTGACCTCTCCAGTCCTCCAAATCCGAAAAGCTGACACACTTTAGGAAATAATTCATAAAATCCATTTCTATGAGCCTCTCATTTTGTGTTGACTCGACTCTTTAGTTATGACCTACTAGAGCCAAAACATTTTCAAATTGAACTCTGGCCATTCAACAGCAGGCACGGGACTCATTTCCATTTTCTCTGCCTGCAGTAACAAAAAAAGAAACACACATAACTGCTGATGATCCTCAAGTTGACAAAGTGGATGGAAGAGGATGCATTTGTTTCTCTCTCAGCCTGACCCGGGAATGAAATGCGAAAAAGAAGTTACACAACAGTATCGCTGGGCGTCTTGGCTCCGAGCTGAAACATTGACAGGCATACTAATGACCGTATTCTCCCTTATACAACACTGAAAATACATCATAAATTATATGAAATGTCACCGGCATTGTAAAGCTTGTCAGGTAATTACAAAGACACGACAACAAAAATACTTATGGTTAAATAAAGAAGAGTTAGATTTGACATTTAAATTTAATCTAAAAGAAAAATGAGAGTTTTATTAGTTTATGACAAGGATATCAAAAGATATGTCACAAGCAGCAGGATATTTCCACTTCAACTATATTTCAACTCAACAATAATAAGTTTTTTGTTTTTTTTTTGCAGAAAATGTATTTATGCTGCTTTTAATTTGACAGTTTGCACACATAATGCAGCCTTAAGCTAATAAAGTGTATTTTAAAGTTACCCCAGTGGCACAGAATATGGATATATGGATGGAAATAGATGTTTTTTAATGATTTTTTTGTTTGTTTGACAGAAATCTCTCCCAAACAGTTTTTTAAGGGTAATGAAGCAATAAAAAGGAAAAGAAGAAACAACAAAGTTAAATATTAATGCAAAAATCCTCTGAAAAATGCCTTGTCACAGAACTGCCGGCAGTGAAAACAGTACAACGTTTTATTAGTAATAGGAGCAATAGAACAACATATAAAAACATCATACAAATAGAAATCCTGCATTCAGTTAAAGCCCAGAAATAGCACTGGCAGCACTGGTCTGCAATTTCAGCTGTACCTTCAGTGTATTTCAGAGTAACAGAAACTATCCTGTTACCATGAGAAAACCAGCTTAGCTATCTAGATCTAATGAGGTAGTATCAAAATTAGCTCCTGTGTCCACCGATACTGCACGGATAACCCCTTTTAGTTCAAAACCAAATTAGTTTTCTGAGAACTAAGAATGCAACAAAACGTGGTCTCCAGTGTGGTGTAAAACCATGACTTGAAGGTACCTGACAGCTATGTGGTGATCTATTCCTCCAGTATGGTGCTTTGTTGGCTTTTGTGTTGCCGCTGCCCGCTAGCATCAGTCTGATTAGCTGCACCTGTATGCTTGGTTTTCAGGCGCTAGATTAAACTCAAAGTATTTCAGTGATTTTGGTTCTGTTTAACACAAAGTGAATATCACTTTTGACTTGCCAAGTGAGCTGTGGTCTCAAGCGCAGTGATGTTGATATAGACGGGTTTCTGTGCAACACCATCGCAGGTATGCATGCGCAGCCAGGGGGCAGAAAGCGGGACATTTCTTATTTGTTTCCTAGCAGAGTCAACATAGAAAGAAAACGACAAGGAGCTGTAAGGATAGTATATTAATATTTCTGTGAGTTTTGTTTACTTTATGCTGAAAATGATAGATGTATTGTTACAAATATGATCAACTTCGTGGTTTTCTTAATTGATTAAATTTTTTGGAGAAACAGGCTTCTTTCTTTTTTTTTTTTTTTTTTAAGATCAAGCCAATATCAAAAACCTGCTAGAGTTTTATTAATTTTCCTGGATAAAAAACTTTTTTTTTTTTTGGCAGCTTATGTGGCTTTAAAACGGTGCAATATAAAAAACCAACAAAAAAATACACAAGCTAATCGGATCATCGGTGTTGGCAGAGAGTGTTCCAGCTCAGCAGTGACCCATCACTCTTCACCAAAAATGGTCCGAGCTTCCACCTTACAATGTAACAGATAATAGTATTATTGTTATTGCATTGTTGCTGCCTGCGTTGGCCCAGTTGGTGTTTATTTTCCTAACTCTCCACGTCCACAGACGATGGCAGTGATCCATCCCGACAGCCAGAGGCTGAGCGACAGATTCCACACAAGAGGGAACCCCTAGGTAATCATTTGCATTTGTTTTTTATTGCAATCATTAGGGCTCCCCTGCCGGGCCTCAGCACAAGTCTGTGTGACAGACCCCATGTTTTATCTGAGAGTCAGGGGAGGTATGTTGCTGGGAGCAAGCCGGCGAGTACAGTACGCTGAGCTGATAAAGAAAACAAGCTGGCTAACATGCATCATACAGTCACTGACATCTGTGTGTCCCTACGTGTGTTTTGTGGAGTTCAAACCGAGACGAATTTAAATATAGAGAAAGTGTGATTAAAAATGCAGTCTTTATTAATTATCATGCTAACTTGAATTGCCAATTTTCCCTGACAGGGTGTTAAAAGAGAGGAAATTATTTAAATTTAGTATCATTAAAGGCTAGTACACAACACAGCAGGGATTGCCGGCAGCAAAAGAGCACACCAGAGAGCAAACCAAGGGGGACAAAAGACAGAGGAATCCTTGATCAAGCTGGGCAGTGTCCTGACCTCTCCTGTCCCCCAATAGAGGCCCGCTGAGATCACAAGTGGTGCTTGAATAGTGAGCTCCATGGCTGTGCATCAGGATATAAAGATCACCCCAAGCCCCTATACTTTCTTTTAATTATCTTGGGGTCTTTGG